ATGCCGCAAGAAGAAGAGCAGAATCTACATGGAAGAATAGAATTTGCCTATATTAGTTTCATTATTATGTCATTTTTGAATCGTAGCTTCATCGAAATGTAGCTTCTCTTCGTCTATATCTATACATGTTAATCAAAGAGAAAAGGAGAGATGGACTTCAAACGTGAGAGGATAACATCACTCAAGGCTAACTTTTCGTCGACCGATGACCACACGTCCGAATTGGGGAACTCGTTTCGCTCGTGATCTACTTTTCTGTATCGTAGCAAAAGCATCTTGTATCATTGCAGTAAAAGTCGACATGTGCAGAATTATACCTTTTATAATTTTCTATAATTGTGTTAAACGTATAATTTAAAAAAAAATCTAGTTACAGTTTACGGATCTCTCTCTCTCTCTCTCTCTCTCTCTCTCTCTCTCTCTCTCTCCCTTCCTCTTTGTATTTCACTCTTTTTTTTCTTTTTTCTTTCTCGTCTCTATGTAGTATGCATAAAACGTGAAGTATTTCTGAGGAAGTTGCAATCGAAATTTTTAAGTTATTTTCTCTTCCTGCCTGTTTCTCGACCTCACCGGATCGCGGAAGCAGCCAATTCCATTGTTTCAACTACCAGTGACGGAAAGCATTCGGTTACCGCGAATTAAGTACTTAGTCAATCGCAAAACGTCCGCATCTCACTTGGAAAAAAATGAGATAAACATTTACGCAGATTTCTACATATATAATAACAGAGAGAGAAGTCTCGAAATTTAGATATATGGGTCACATCTCAAATATTATTAAAGATATAAAAATTTTATATATTGTTTCATTACTGCGTCTGAATTAAGTATAAGGCACAATTCTCTTACTGTTTTAAAAGCTATTTAAGTTTTTGTTAGTCTTGATTCTTATATAAATTAAAAGTTGTTGACTTAAAACTCTCTGCAGAAAGATATAATCATTTTGCTGCATAAAACTATAAATTATTTGTTTTATTATTGCAGTTGGTTTTAGGGCTAATATCATCAAAATTTTTAAAAATAATATTGACATTAGTTTATTCTGATTGATTGTTTGATTGCTACTTTTAATTGAAATTGTATAGACAAAATTTTGACAAAAAGAACATTCTTAACGGATTCTTGTCAATTCAATAATATTCTATATAAAAACTGATTAAAATAAATAAAATAAAAAAAGCAGATTCAGTTTATTATTTTAAATTCTTTTATAATTTTTTTTTTACGAGGAAAGATTAATATTTTCGTCAATAGCAGTATTTAAAAAAAATTTTTTACGAAATAGAATTAGAGTAGCATTAAGTTTTGAAATTTTCATATACGATATATACAAATTAGAATTGCATAATTCTCTCAAATGGCACATCAATATGACGTAATCAAACACATCAATACAACATAATCGAACAAAATTTGTTCAGTCAAACGTTTTTATGGATCCAACAAACAGCTGTTAGACGTTTGTGACATGCCAGTTACGCTTTCTATGCAAAGTGAGCCGAAACTTACGCTTTTTAAACGTATGCGAACAAACACGCACGATAATGGGTCTATGCAGAGCCATAAAACTCAATTTTAATTTTTCTCACGGATTTGAATAGGCTGGCGGGCAATATCAGTTAATATAATTGTCGTTTTACAAGTCCGTTCGTTTTTTACAAAATAGAGGTTCTCGCAATTTAGCCTGCCCTTAGCTCTCACGTTTTCCGAAATCGAAATTGTGATTTTTTAAATAATCTAAATTTAAAAAAGTAACTTAAAAGTTATTGTTTACAGTATGTAGCCTACTAAATTCATAAATTATATGCCAAAACTCAGATCTTTAATTCAATAATTGAAAGAGATATAAGTCTCTGAAATTTATATGATTCATTGTTGGACCACTTGTATCCTATGCGATGCATTGTACTTAGGACTTGTCTTCACGTAGTTGAAATCAAGCATCGCTGAAATAGACACTCAACGTTTATTCCGATTGTTCTTTTATTATTGTACAATAACATTTATACTTCAGCAATGATTTTCATTATGACATAGAAGTATAGGTTATTTTATATTAGAAATATCCTGGGTATCTCGTATTATGATTTCCATGCCTTATGATTTTATGATCATCAAACCTAACTTTTGTAATTAAGCAATTCAACATATCCCGTATTTTTCTATTAGTACGATATTACTCTATCATCACATAAAGAATTTGTTGATAAATATTTACTTATTAAATAATAAATAAGGTTTAAAGCTCATCTCACGAAATTTAAAGACATCCAAATTCTAAAATTTTTTTTTGCAACTACAGGCACGATCTAATAATAAATTTTCTACTAAATGATTTTTAATCCAAGGGCAATAAATTCATGGGGGAACCAATAGATAGCGTTTATTAGTTTAGCGGAAACGTCGCTGTCTCATATTAGGCGCCTATCTCATAATCGGGAGCTTTTCTTTATGTATTATATGTCCGCATGGAAAGAATGATTTTGCTAAAATATAATATAAAAATTTAAATAGATACAGATCTGAAAATAATTTTATTGAAAAAAATAATCATATAGAAAATTCAAGCATGATAAGCAATGCTGTAAAATTAAAGCTTTTGCATTCTATCAACTATACTTCACACAATTATTTTGATAATTTATAAAATTATTTATAAAATTATTTTCAGATCTGTATCTAGCCAAATTTTTAAATACTTCAACAAAACTGTTATTTCCATCCATAAGATACGAAAAAACTACATTATTTTGAACAATATCTCTGAATAATATATCTGAATAATATCAATATCAATGTTTCTAAATTAAACTCACAATAATTAATCGACAATTTATTTAGCTGTAAGAAAATTTTGGATGAAAGAAAGCGGTTCTTTTATGGGCGGACATCGACTTATATAGGAAGTTGCAGCCAGCTGTAGAAAATGGGCTAAAACTTGTATGGCAAATCGCAACATAATTTGCAAAAAACACACACACACACACACACACACACACACACACACACACACACACACACACACACACACACACACACACACACACACACACAAATCAATAAATATATACTTTTTAAATATAGTAATAATGAAGTCTCCCCCCCCATTTTGTGATATTTTATTCATGACAATATATACATTATTCTTTATTAGGAATAAAACAATATATAATATGCAAAATACTTTTTATCTAAATTTATACAATAACATTGTGCAGCCATCAAAACTATTAAGAACATCTCAAGTAAATGGGTAACAATAATAAAAATTATTTCGTTGGGAGACTGTCCTTTTTATCAACAAAATAACCATCTTATTATGATATAATGTCGAAACAATTAGATAAATTCTTGCCATCTTTGTAACATAACATGTCATATGGTCCATTTCTCACGTTCGTTCATCATTGAATCGATGCTACGGTGACACGTGTGAGTCATGAGTTAAACGCTACCTATCTGAATAGAACTTTAATGAAAGTACAGAGACAAATTTGAACAAACGCATACGGTTTTATATCATAAGAAGAGATAAAAATTAAGAGAAAGTAAGAAGAAGAAAGAAAGAGGAAGAGAGATTAGTAGTAGTTGCGTCGCATCTCATAGGACATAAATCATAGATGATGAGTCGAGGCATCGAGTGGGGCCCTCATGCTAGCCTGTATAAAAGGGAGTCCCAAGACATCGACGAAGCTTTAGTCCTCAAATCAAGAAACAGCATCTATCATGAGGGCATTCATGGTGAGTAGTCTGTTTACCATGATTGAATTTTCCCAATTTCTCGTTTCCTCCTCTCCTCCTTTCCTCACTCTCTTCTCGATTTCTTCATCTTCTTCTCTCCTGTCGCTGTCTTTTTATTCGGATCCTCCTTTCTGTTTCTCTTCTCGCAGAAACAGAAAAGAGAAAAACAGGAAGAAAAGAACTTAAATGTCAAGATTATCTCCCGCATTTATGTAACGTTAACACCATGAAACGTTAAGCGCGGCCGGTGACTGAAAGAAAGGGATTATATGTTCTACGTGCTCGTAAATCTACCGCCGTGCATTTCCGGAAACACTTCTGAAACGTTTACTGCTTGCTCTTTAAATATGTTTATTGCAAGAACGAATAGAAGTATACCGAGTATCATTGTTCACTTGAAAAAAAATTACATGAAATATTATCGTTTATATTATCTTCGAAAAAGATGTTCCTAATTCTTCTTCAATTAAAAATGCGTGAAAACTGTATATATTAATGTATAAAAATAAATAATGCATTTTTTTCGCACATGTACATTTCTTCTATAAAAAATACTTAGAGTTCGATTTTAAAGAATTCAACATGACTTATTCACGAGCTACATTATTTATTAATTTTATAATATCACACAATTTTAGCATAATAATTATACTAAATCGCAACGAAAGAAAAAAAGTGAAGTACCGAAAAATATTTAGAACATTATGACCTTGTTCCACCAATGTAAATTAAGTTTAATTTTGATACAATTTACTGTTTATTTACTTCTAAAAATTAGAAAAAAGTAAATAGTAAATTAAACTGAGATTAATCTTACATTAGTGGAACTGAGCTTAATTTTAGAATCATAATAAGGTAAACGTGCCAGTATCCAGACATGTAATACCTATATGTCCAGATATTTACATAAAACTCCATATTTGTCCATATTATTATTAATCTCAAATGCTTTCTTAAATATAATATTATAATTATATTATAATTAATTATAATATAATTATAATATTATAATAAAAAGAGCATTTAAAATTAATATCTAATAATAAATTTTGTGCATATCCGGTTACGAGGGACGTTCTTAAATATATTAAAATATTTATAAAAGAAAAATAATAAAACGAAGTTTAAATATCAAAGTCGAAATCTCGGTTTCAATATTTAAACACATCAGGAAAGTAAAATTGAATTGCAATTGTAGATCCTGGCCCTCGTCGCGACGGCGATGGCGCGGCCGGAAGCCGGATACTCCTATAGCCAGCCAAGCAGTAGCTACGGCGCTCCTTCCGGTGGATATTCGCTTGCTGGTGGTGTTGGTGGTATTGGTGGCATCGGTTTCGGCGGCGGCGTAGGCGTAGGCGGTGGTTTTGGTGGTGTATCGCCGGCAGGTATCGCCGCCGGTGTTGGTCCTGATGGTATCTCTGTGCCGCAGAAAATATCCTCATCCGGAACTGCTGGCATTGTCTCCAGTGTCGGCGCTGCAGGAGGTGTCTCGGGTGATGCGGCAGCGGCACTTAGATTCGCCTCTGCTAGACAGATTGTTAGAGATGTCTATGTTTACGGACCATCTAAAGATCTTGAGGCTCCCGGAGTTGCCGGAGTCGCGCCTCAATATCAAACACGTCCACCACAGAAGCACTATAAGATTGTCTTCATCAAGGCACCTACCCCACCAACCCCGACCGCTCCGGTGATCCCAGTGCAGCAACAGGATGAGCAGAAAACACTCATTTATGTTTTGGTCAAGAAACCCGAGGAGGCGCCCGAGATCAATCTGCCTAGCATAACGCCCACTCAGCCCAGCAAACCGGAAGTCTATTTTATCAAATACAAGACTCAGGTAAAGGAAAAAAATTTAAGCATAAAAGATAAGAAAAAGCGAAAATCTTAAACCGATCTAATTACTTAATCTTTTTTTTCTTCACATTGCAGAAGGAAGTCACTGGTGGCACCGGACCAAGTAGACCCAGCACGAGTTACGGGGTACCCGGTGAATCCGGGCCATACTAGTCAATTCACCGCTACCCCTGTAGCGGCCCTTCCGTCCTACTCTCCTATTCACCAACACATACGTACACACCGTTCACATACCTCTGACATGATCAACGACAATAATACTTATCGTATTGACGTATCGCTGTTATATGCGCGATCACCGAGAGAAGAAGTTGATAACAAGTTGATGACAAAGTTGAAGACGGCGATGATGATGACGATGTTGAATACGATAACGACGACGACGATAATGATGATGATGATGATGGCGATGATGAGAAGAACGATGATATCGATCACAACGACGACTACTATGATATCGATCACAACGACGATAATGATAATGACGACGACGGCGATGATGATGATGATGATGGCGATAATGAGAAGAACGATGATATCAATCACAACGACGACTACTATGATATCGATCAATCACAACGATGATAATGATGACGACGACGACGGCGATGATAATGATGATAATGATGATGATGATGATGATAATGATGATGATGATGATAATGATGATGATGATGATAATAGTGTTTTTTTATGACAACTGGAGCGAAGAAGAGATGTTTTTTATTCTTATTTTTTGCAAGAAAACGGTGGCGAAATAAAGCTTTTTTATGTATTTTTACTATCTATTTTTACTATCTACGCTTGTCAACTTATTATATACCTTTCCAATTCGAATTGATTCTGGAATCTGATTCCGTGGAATTTCCACATTTAAATTTACCTAATGCCCGATTCTACCAATAAATAGTACTTACTAATATTAGTAAATAATGCAGGTGGGGGGGGGGGGGGGGACTATGGCAGCCGCTTAGTGTAACTACTCTAGAGTTCCATTATTTCTCCCTGCTTGTTTCCAAAGTTAGACGATCAAACTCAGCCTCGTACCGTGTACCAAGCTTATGAGATCGCCTATCTTTACGCCATTTAGAGATCCTCGATTGTTTAAACATGTGTCTCCAGGATACATTTCTTTACCTCAAAATTTTTAAGGCTCTATTTGTTCAGGCTTGTATTTTCTGGTGAAAACCATGGTCGAGGTCTTCTCCGGATTTACCATCAGTTCCCTTGTCCTGCATCAATTTTACATGATTATCAAGGCTTCGTCCATGCGTTCCTTGAGGGTCGTGAAAAAATTGCCTCTGGTAATTATGGCTATGTCATCTGCATAATTGTAGATCTGGAAACCAAATTCCCTCAGTTTTGTGAGAAACTCGTCCACTATCAGGCACAATAGTAGGGGGGGAGAGGAGGGAAGGGGAGAGAACCCCCTCTCTGCGGGCAGCCTGACGCCGGACCCCCTTTAATGATGATATTGCTATGATTGACGGTCAGTTTTCTGCCCTTCAGCATGCTTCGAGTTCAGTCCACAAGTGCATCTAGTATTTTGTCTTACCATGGTATTCTTCATCGAGATTGAGGTGATATCAAAAGTCTCTTGAATGATGAAAATCGTCTTCAATTCGATATTCGATGATCTAGCTTAATTTCTGTTAGATAGTCGCCCACGGTTCCACCCCTGAGTGAAAGCTGCGCCACCCGCTATGGCCAGAAAGCTCACGATCCCTAAAGACGCTAGCCACGTGCTTCCTTGCTCGATTGATCTTATCAGACGTTTGGTGACGAAGATATCATACCTGCATAAACAAGTCAAAATAAAGATTCGTATGTATTGTTGTGGAGCATTGAGAGCACGTGCACCCCAAGGCGCCCCTTAGCTCGCAAGTCCCAATGACTACTACAAGGAGGAATCTTTTTGGGGGAGAGGGGAGTTAATTGAAATTGTATAGACAAAACATCCCTAACGGATTCTTGTCAATTCAATAATATTCCGACAATATTAAAACCGACCATGATAAATAAAATAAAAATAGATTCAGTTTACTATTTTAAATTCTTTTATAATTTTTGTTTTACGAGAAAAAATTAATATTTTTGTTGATAGCAGTATTTTTAAAAACTCTTTTACAAAATAGAATTAGAGCCGCGTTAAGTTTTGAGATTTTCATACACATCACGGTATATACAAATTAGAAATGTATAATTCTCTCAAATGTACATCAATATAATGTAATCGAACACATCAATATAACATAATCGAATAAAATTTGTTCAATCAAACTTTTTATGAATCCAACAAGCAGCTTAGATATTCGTGATATGCAGGCGCTAGAATATTTGGTGTTCCCCCCGCAAATTTTAAATTAGCCTCCTCCTACAAGTAGAGTTTTTATTAATTATCAAATTTCAAATCTACAACTTACAGCCGTAAATTAACAGACATTCTGAGAACTATTTTTTTTACAGGACGGTATCTGGGAAAAACAACGTGCTCTTAACTAATTGTAAGTCTTCTTTTGTTCAGATGTTTAAAATCTTTAAAGCGCGTCAAACTGTGCGCAGGATTCGCGATTCAAAAACAGTTGTGCAAGATTTATACTGTTTTGAGCATTTGACATGATGATCTAATATCTAATAGAATAATTATTAGAATTAATTTCCTACACACAAAAATGTCACTAAACATTGCATATTGTCTTTACACAGTGATTACTACTTGTGTAAAATATTTGTTAAATATTTAAAAAAAAATTTAATTTAATTTGTCAATTTGAAGAATTAAACAACAAAGAAAAATAAGAAAGTTACATTCGATTATTCACCAACGCGTCTCTACTTGAACCTCGTAAAACAATCATTTAAAAAAAAAATAACAAATATTATGTGAAGAAAAAAAAGAAGAGTGTTGAGAAAAAAATTGCAAAAATCGAAAAATATATGTCGATATACTCGTGATGTTACTAAAATTGAGATTTTTTTTTTAATTTCGGAATGTATAAAACGAATCATAACTATTTTCTTTATAATACTAAATAGTTTACGATTTTTATTTTGTAATTTATTGAAAAAATATTTCAATCTCATTTAGTACAATATAGGTACGCGACGTCAGGTGCCCCTAAAACATATGGCGTCCTCTCGCCGTGCCGAACTCGCTTATCGTGTTCCGCCGCTCCTGGTGATGTGCCAGTTACGCTTTCTATAAGGTGCGCCGAAAATCAAGCTTTTTAAACGCATACAAACGCACACGCACGATAATTAGTACACACAGAACCACACAATTAAAACACAATTTTAATTTTTCTCACGGATTTGAATAGACGGGCGGGACAATATCAGTTATAATCATCGTTCTACAAATCAGTTTGTTTCAAGTCGTACAAAGTAGAGGCTCTCACGATTCAGTCTGCCCTCAACTCTCATTCATGTTTTTCGAAACGCGTGGCTGCGTTTAAGTACAATTTAACTATCCTACTCAGGATCCATGCTTACTTATTATTTATTGTATTTATTGTTTGCTTATCCGAATGTATACGTATTATACATCCGCATGGAAAGAATAATTTTGCTGAAATATATAAAAATTTAGATAGATACAGATCTGAAAATAATTTCGTTGAAAAAAATAAGCATGTAGGAAATTCAAGCTTGATCAGCAATACTGTAAAATAAAAGCTTTTACATTCTATCAACTATACTCCACACAATTATTTTGATAGTTCATAAAATTATTTTTCACATCTGTATCTAGCCAAATTTTTAGATACTTCAACAAAACTATTATTTCCAATCCATAAGATAAGAAAAAACTACACTAAAACTACACTAAACAATATCTTTGAATAATAAATCAATATTAAAGGTTTCCAAATTAAACTCACAATAATTAATCGACAATTTATTTAGCCGTAAGAAAATTTTGGATTAAAGAAAGCGATATTTTCGTGGATGGACATCGACTTATTACACAGGAAGTTGCAGCCGGCTGTAGGAAATGGACTGAAATTTGTATGGCAAACCGCAGCATAATTTGCGGGTGGTATAATACCTGCATTTATCTTTCTTTAAGTATCCAAGAAACGTACATTGTGTTTTCTTTTTGTAAAATTCTTGTAAGGGCTATACGATATCATTAAAAAGTTTGTCATTAACAATTTTATAAATGTGACACTTGAAGTAATAAAAATCAATAAATATATACTTTTTAAATATAGTAATAATGAAGTCTCTCCCTCCATTTTGTGATATTTTATTCACACACACACACAGATATGACAACATATATATCGTTCTTTATTAAGAATAAAGCAACATATAATATGCAAAATACTTTTTACTTAAATTTATACAATAATATTGTGCAACCATCAAAATTATTAAGAACATCTCAAGTAAATGAGTAATAATAATAAAAATCATTTCTTTGAGATACTGTCTTTTTTATCAACAAAATAACCATCTTGATATCGTGCATAATATCAAAGCAATTAGATAAATTCTTGCCATCTTTGTGGCATAACATGTCGTATGGTCCATTTCTCACGTTCACTCGTCATTGAATCGACGCTACGTGACACGTGAGTGTCATGAGTGGACGCAATCTATCTGAATAGATGAATTTTAATGAAAATACAGAGACAAATTTGAGCAAACGCATACGGCTCTATATTATAAGAAGAGGCAAGAATTGGGAGAAAGAAAGAGAAAGAGAGAAAGAGGGAGAGAGATTTGTAATAGCTCCGTCGCATCTCATAGGTGATGGGTCGAGGCATCGAGTGGGGCCCCCATGCTGGCCTGTATAAAAGGGGGCTTCAAGACATCTGCGGAGCATCAGTCCTCAAATCAAGGAACAGCAGCTACCATGAGGGCATTCATGGTGAGTAGCCCGTCCACGACGATTTACCCAATTTCTCGTTTCCTCCTCTTGTCCTTTCCTCACTCTCTTCTCGGTTCTTTCATCTTCTTCTTTCCTATCGCTGTCTTTTTATTCGGGTCCCCCTCTCTGTTTCTCTTCTCGCGTATACGGGATCTTTCTCGGAGGATGATAAGACCGTGAGAGAAACGAGGAGAATTCGTGATCAAGATTGAGATCGAAACCGGGATCGAAGGTTTCATCCGAGAGCGGAAGGCGGGAGAACGCGGGAGAAAGTAAAAGAGAGGGGAGGGTGCACAGGAAATATTGTGTGCGGTGTCAATGTACTCCATGATAGTGACTAACCCGAGAACCGGTTCAGTGATTGTGCCACTTCTCTAGTTCCGTTTGCGCGAAAACAGAAAAGAGAGAAACAAGAAGAAAAGAACTTAAATGTCGGTATTCTCTTCCGGATTTATGTAACGCTAACACCGTGAAACGTTAATCGCAGTCGGTGACTGAAAGAAAGGGATTCCACGTGCTCGTAAATTCACCGTGCACTTCCGGAAACATTTCTGAACCGTTTACTGCTTGCTCTCTAGATACGTTTATTGCAAAAACGAATAGAGGAATACCGAGAATCATTGTTCATTAAAAATAAAATTAGATGAAACATTTATATTATCTTTGAGGAAGAGGTACATATTTCTTCTTCAATTAAAAACGCGTGGGAACTCTTCATATTAATGTATACAAATAAATAATGCATTTTTCGCACATGTACATTTCTTCTATGTAAGAAGTACTTAGAGTTCAACTTTACAGAATTTAATTTGAACATTTATTCGAGCTACATTATATAATTTTATATTAGCACATAATTTTAACACAATAATTAAACTAAATTGCAATGAAAAAAAAGTGAGGTACCGAAAAGTATTTAAAATATTATGGCCTTGTTTTATCAATGTACATTGAAATTATTTTTAGTTCAATTTACTGTTTATCTATTTCTAAAAATTAGAAAGAAATAAACAGTAAATTAAACCGAAATTAGAATTAATCGTACGTTAGTGGAACTGAGCTTAATTTTAGGCTCCTATTCTGTAATTCTTAATGACTGCAACGATATCATTATATTGTCATTGCGCAAATTTCGTATACAATAAAAAAAACTGCGCAACGACAATTTAATGATACCGATAGAGTCGTTAAAAATTATAGAGTAGGACCCTTAGAATCATAATAAGATAAACGTTCCAATATCCAGACATATAATAACTATATGTCCGGATATTTTTACGAAACTTTATATTTGTTTATATTATTATTAATCTCAAATGCTTTCTTAAATATAATATTATAATTTAATTGCAATCTTTAAATACCGTTAAATTATAATATTATAATAAAAAGAGCATTTAAAATTAATATCTGATAATAAATTTTGTGCGTATCGGGTTACGAGAACGTTTTTTATCTTAAATATATTAAAATATTTGTAAAAGAAAAATGATAAAACAAAGCTCAAATATCACAGATCGCAATCTCGATTTCAATATTTAAACATATTAGGAAAATAAAATTGAATTGCTATTGTAGATCCTGGCGCTCGCCGCGACGGCGATGGCGCGGCCGGAAGCCGGATACTCCTATAGCCAGCCAAGCAGTAGCTACGGCGCTCCTTCCGGTGGATATCCGCTCGCCGGTGCTGTTGGTGGTATTGGTGGCATCGGTGGTTTCGGCGGCGGCGGAGGCGGAGGCGGTGGCGGTGGATTCGGTTTTGGTGGTGCAGGTATCGCCGGTGGCATCGGAGGTACACAGGGTATCTCAGGCGCTCCCTCGTTCGGCGTCGGAGGTGGCCGAGGTGGAGTTGCTAGCATTGCCGGCGGTGTCGGCGGTGGAGATGGTATCTCTGGTATCAGTGCATTCGGCGGCGGCGGCGGCGGTGGCGGTGGATTCGGAGGTGGCACGCTCATCCAAAAACACATCTACGTTCACGTACCGCCTCCAGAAGCTCCCGAGGCAAGACCGGCCAGGCCCATAAGCGGAGGATATCAGGCACAAAAGCACTATAAGATCATCTTCATCAAGGCACCTACCCCACCAACCCCGACCGCTCCGGTGATCCCGGTGCAGCAGCAGGATGAGCAAAAAACGCTTATCTACGTTTTGGTCAAGAAACCCGAAGAGGCGCCCGAAATCAACTTGCCCACCATCACGCCCACTCAGCCCAGCAAACCGGAAGTCTACTTTATCAAATACAAGACTCAGGTAAAGAAAAGAAACTTAAGCATAAGAAATAAAAAAAAGCAAAATTCCTAAAAATATCTAATTACTTAATCCTTTTTTCTTTACATTGCAGAAGGAAGTCACCGGTGGTGGTGGAGGTGGTGATGGTGGCATCGGCATCGGCGGTCACGGAATTGATGGCGGTATCGGTGGCGGTATCGGTGGCACCGGACCAAGTGGACCCAGCACGAGTTACGGGGCACCCGGTGGATCCGGGCCATACTAGTCAATTCACCGCTACCCCTGTCGCGGCCCCTCCGTCCTACCCTCCCGTTCACCAAACACACGCACACACCGCTCACATACCTCTAACATGATCAGCGACGATAATACTTATCGTATTGACGTATCGCTGTGTTATATGCGCGATCGCCGAGAGAAGAAGACGACAACGATGACAAAGTTGAAGACGGCGATGATGATGACGATGTTGAATACGATAATGACGACGACGACGATGATGATGATGATGGCGATGATGAGAAGAACGATGATATCGATCACAACGACGACTACCACGATAATGATGACGACGACGACGACGACGACGATGATGATGATGATGATGATGATGATGATGATGATGATGATGATGATGGTGATGACGACGATAATGATGATGATGATGATGATGATGATGATGTTTACGACGACTAGAGCGAAGGAGAGATGTTTTTTATACTTATTTTTTGCAAGAAAACGGTGGCGAAATAAAGCTTTTTTATGTATTTTTACATAAAACTATCTACGCTTGTCAACTTATTGTATACCTTTCCAATTCGAATAGATTCTGGAGTCCGAGTTCGTGAAATTTCCACATTTAAATTTGCCTAATGCTCAGCTCTACTAATATAGATTAACTTTAATCTTATTTTAACTTATTTTTTTATCTTGTTCTATATAAGGAATAAATTTTAAGCCAAGAAAAGTTGACCTACATTGATAAGAATATTTATTTTTTAGTCTCGGTAAAATTTATCCTTCACTCTTTTTTAATTTTCTACTTAGTCAGAACTAGAACGATTGTTTATTGTATATACTTATAAGTATAAGAATTAAGTTTATACTTCTTTCAAAAAGTTCTGAAGAAACAATCCAGATAGATTCGTCAATTTTCCAAATTAGTAACTTCCGAAGAAGTGAACTCCGTTTTTCAAACAAAATAAATTCACGCGAATTAAAAAAATAATCGCGTATACGCGCGCGATTCTTTTTCTCCTTGTAGAAATTCGCAACGCCACTTTTACGGACGATTAATCTCACGTCAATGAGTACGTGTCAACGCGGCATTTTAATCCCAATTATACTCGAGCTATGCGTCGCTTTACGATCGCACGAGTAATTGACGTATTTTGCATACGATAGTATTAACTGACATTTTACAGAACGCTTGGTGAAAAAGGGGTGAAAGAGGGGACTCCAGCTTGATCCCGGTTTCGTCGGATCGGGCCACAGGGTTAATTCTCCCGTGGCGACGATTTCCTTTCTCAGTGCGTTTCCGCATGAGAACGCGCTGAATATTGCGCGACAGCGACAACAATTCTCTCGTCAATTCTCGCCACGAAAAAAAGAGAAGGGAACTCAGGTTGATGGGTAGAAAGGGGGAGGGAAAGGCGAGAAGATGGGAGGAAGCCATGTTTATCTCTTTCCAAAAAGGCAGCGCATCTCTCGCGAGCGGAGAAACTTTCACTGCTCCTAAACAACCGCTAATCAAGAGACGAGAACGACGCTCGTCGCCAGATTTCGTTCAACCGTTTCCCTTACTTTTATCTCTCTTTTTCTTTTCTTCTCTTTCTCTTTTTCTCCCGAAGAGCGCTTCGCGAAGAAGACTCGCGAGTTACTCGACGATGAGATCCGATGAATCCACAAAGTAGCGCAGAAGGATTTCCCACGATGACTAGAAGAAATAATGCTTGTGCGTTTCTTAGGCGCCAATGCGCATGGGAAATGCATAGGACACGCGCGAAATTTGCACGTATCTTTCTATAACGTATTTATAGGATGCGAGGCAACTAGTAGTTCAATTATTAAGGCGGCATAATTTCCCGCGAAATTAAGATCTGTTCGCAAACAGTGGCATTTGATCGATTCAATTGTGATTTAACGAAATCTATCCAGAAAACATTAAAGCATCTTAAAGAAATCTTTAATTAAGACAACTTAAAATTCTCCCAAAATTTTTTTACTCAACTATGTTTAAATGCATCCTAAAAACGTTATATATTCCAAATGAATATAATTATAAATTAATACAGGCGACCGAGAGCAGAATTGTGACGTAGTTATTTGAGCGTTTCTTAAATCTTACATGTATTTATATAATATCGAACGTTTCGGCTCCGTTCAGCGATGTTCAAGTATCAGTTTCAACATTCGCATTTATTATTGTGTTCAAATTCAAGACTGCAACATAGAGAGCCTCTTCAATTTCATTGTTGGGAAGCCTCTTTGTCAATTAGTAGCACCTAAATGATCACCACTGCAATCTTCGAATCACACGTTAAATACATTAAAGAAGAAAAATATGGATTGAGACGAATCGTTAAGAGAACTTGCGCTTACAGAATATAACTTTGAAATGACAGTTACAGCATGAGCTTGAACAGTGAGGCATTGTCGAATAACAAACCAGGTTTAGACCAGCTTTTAAGCTGTCCTTCAAAATATTTTTCAAGAATTAAAAAATAAAAATAATATTATATTGATTCATGACAAATAAATTCGATCAATAATCTGTCAATATAACGTCAAAATTGACATTATTTGACTTTCTTATTCTTGTTGAGTTCAGACACGCATGTTTATTGCAGAGTACATCTATAGATACATATATTGTACGTAATATTCTTTCTATCTTTCATATGATGGAATCAAATTGGGCGATACAGTTTAATGTAACGTATGAAGTTGATGACTTTGCAAAACACATTTATATAATATAACTCTTTATGTTTGCCTAAATTTTTTAAATGTTACTTATCAAACTCTCCTAAGACTTACATATGTTATAACACCTAATATTTACAGCAGTAAGCGAAAATCGGAGTTATATTAATTTTCTTTAATGAAGGAAGAATTTTGTGTCACTTTAATTTTATTTACTTTAATTTATACAGTCTTTAAAAAAAGAAGGAAATGCAAATTACAGAGAAGGGAGGTGAGAAGAGAGTTAAATGTCTCGATGTTTCTCAAAGGATTAAGAGATAATGCCATAATGGTCGAAAGGAGAGAAAATAGCGTCTTGGCTATCATTTACCGAGCGACAGATATGCGTGATGAAAAGCGTATACTCGTCGCACGCATCAACAGCACCGAACAGCTGGCTGCTGCTTGAAATTGCCCCGGGGGGAAAGATGAGACGATGAGCGAAAGCGAGGCTCTTCTTGCTTATTGACACGAGAATTTAACAGGAGAGAAGCCGAGAAAACGAATAAAAAGGAAGAAAGGGAAGCTCATTAACATATTAGTGCGACAGTCCGTATGTGTGCTTTCTCTCTCTCTCTCTCTCTCTCTCTCTCTCTCTTTTTCTCTGAGGCTCTCACGTATACGTGACGCGAGTAATCATGAGAACAGACGATTCAAATCGCTTTGAATTCACGAAGTGAATAAGTCAAGCGTCCTATACGCGCGAGGTCGTGAGTTTTAGTTGCTTTATTTTTCCGCGTTGCGTTGTGCGTGAATGAACCGAAGCAGAATCTCCAAAGAAAACTTACAAGGAAAGGACACAGTGGACTCTTCACGAATTTTGATCTCTCTTAATATGATAAATCTACATCATAAAAAAAAAATAAAAAGAAAATAAATTATGCCATGTCTGAACGTTTTATTGAATAGGGTGTAGTAAATAGTATTGTCTTCTTCTTAGTTGATCACATATAATTCTTAAAAAGGAACTTATAACTTTTGTAGATATAATATCATGATTTCATATAATTTTTAATATACTGGTAGGTTTATCAAAAACAGATTCAACTCAAATAATTTTCCCAGATACGACGAAACATTTTAAGGACGTAACGAAAAAATGTTGGCGTAATTTTGAAAAAAATTGACGAAGAAACTTTATAAAATAAGATCGAATATGTTTGCGAGCAAAACAGGATAAGAGGTTGAGCACAGCGAAGAAGTCGGGGGGGGATAAGTTAGGGAAGATCACCGGGAAGCCATGACGGCACTTCGTAGTAGCCAGAAGGCAACTTTCACGGGAACATCGCTTCTTTTTTTTCTATCTGAACGAGAAAGAGAAGACTGACATGCAGAGGCAGCAGGGAGGAGAAAAAACACTTTCGAAAGGTTGGAGCCGGCCTCCTTCAAAAATCGGACAACTCCGATTCGAGGCCATTATTTGGACATTGCGTATCTTTCGATCATGATATCATCCCGGTCGCGAGACACTTGATCAGAGATGAAAACGTCCACGATCCTTTCCTCTCCGTTCTAGTGACAAATAGGTAAATCTATGCATTATTTATAAATTTACAAATTTATTTGTACATCTACAAAGGAGGATATTAAAAAGAGGTCGATTTCTGCTCAAAAAGATGTAAATAAGAGAAATAATGTTTTTTATAGATTTTGATCTCTTGAATACGATAAAATTAAGAAGTTATTCCACATATGTATACGAAACTGCACCACACAACAGAATTTTTTAACTTATACATTCTATTTAAGTTCCATTTTGTAATTTTCAGGATTACTTCAACTAAAGTGGAAGTATAATGATATTTTTACAAAATTTTTAAACTAGTGAGTTGATGATGAAAAATGTTAATAAAAATTGTAAATAAATGGAAAATGATTTTTTTTATACGAAAATGATAAATTAAAAATAACCCATCCAGAGAACAATTTAAGATTTTTTAAATTAGTCTCTTGCATTTTTTTGTATAACTAATGATTTCGACGATATAATAATTGTTCGCATAAACAACGTTTTTTTTTTATGAATTTCTTTAACTTACAACAGTGAATAATTTAAAAAAAAAATCTCAAATTTTTTTCGCGAAACACGTGTCTTATATTTTTATCTGTAGAATATGTCAGTAAATTTTTAAAAAATTAAAAATGATGTTTCAAAGATACTCGCTGGAATGCCTCATATGCTTTCACAACTTTGCTAATTTCATATATAGCAATATAAACGAATCTAGTATGATGCACGTGACAAACTCACTTAATTAAGCTGCTTCATCACACCGCATTTAATTCTTGTGTCATCAAATTACAAATTAAGGAGCACTGATATAATTTGTTTTAAGAGTAGTACTATATGGTATTAAACATATTCTTTCGTTTAAATCGCATCGATCTTGTAGAAATTAGAAATAAATTGCACTTAGTTTCTAACAGGAGATCGATAATCGGGCGATAATAACGCGTGATGGAGCGTGAAATCACGGCGTTTACACGAGGCGCTAACGCGTTACATTTGAACAACGATGTGTTTAATGTCATTACACTATTATTACATTTAAATACTTTGCAACTTCAATTGAAGAATTGACTATATTATAACGCCAATGCATTCGTGATTAATTATTCATGAAAAATGTTAAACCTCCCACGAGTAACTCCCATTGTGTTCTATGTATGAGTGTCGATCAAAAATAAAGGATTCTTAACTGCTATATTGATAAAAGTTATCGTCAATAACTGCACGGAAAAAACAATTTTGCTAAAGTATCTAAAAATTTGAATACATGCAGATATAAAAATAAATTTTATTAAATTACATAA